ATATAGCCAGCCTTTGTGCCTGGTAAGATAAGAAGAATTTTCTCCCAGCATTCTTTTTTAAATGGCAAAAACCCTTTTGTTTCAATACAACGTGCTCCTTCTGTATGTGTCAAATAAATCCTTATCTGTGATACTCCTCTCAGTAAGAAGCTGCTGTTTGTTCTTGCTGTCTCTTCACTTACTGCATTTGATACTTTTGCTACCTCTCTTAAGTTTGCCAGAGTATTTTCCTAATGTTTTCCCTTTGATGTCCCTATATCATGTTAACTTTCAACTCATTGACACTATATTAAAATTGATAGTCCCTGAAGAGAAAAAGTTTTCTGATTTTACTTCATAGATTAGTGGCAGTTCTTTGCTGATTTTCTTTCTTTCTTTCTTTCTTTTCTTTTAATGCATCTGCATGCTGGGAGTGTTCTTGAGCTTTGCAATAGTACAGCTTGCTGTTTCACTGGCTTCCTGTCACTTTTCTCAGGAATATGTATTTTCCAGGATACCATTTATGAATCTTTCTCTTGAACTGATAAATCATGAGGGTCTAGATTTAAGTGCTCATTGTCAGCAACTGGGTAGCTATGTCAGAGAAGGATTATTCTGCATTTGCCTTGTTTATTCTGTTCCTTCCCTAATCGACTATTATCAGTCACTGTCAGAGACAGGGTTTTAATAAGACCCATTCAGGAAACTTTTATATTCTTACTTTGTATTCTATTTAACTTAAAATTTCTCTTGTGTGTTAAGATTTGGGAGCATGTGGAAATGTCTAGACAATGACTTAAGTCCTTGATCCTGCTGGGATTTTTAGAAATGCTTATGTGTATAAGCACCTTGTCCCTATATTCTCTTTGCATGCGCCTCTGTGGCTCTGGGAGCAGCAGCAGCTGCAGCTGGTAGCTCAGGCCAGCACTGCCATAGCTGCCAAGCCTGCTTTGCTCTTCTGAGGAGAGTCACAGAAATTATGCACTTTCTTCCTTGCAAATATCCCATTCCTTCATAGAATCCCTGGTCCTTACTGAACAGATGAAGCATCTGAAAGAGGCTTTAGGGAGATTATCCCATGAGACACTTAATTTACATTTTATGTGAAAAGATTCTCCTTTTTCTGCCTTATTCCATTGAAGTAAGATGCAGCCACACGCTTTCCTTAGGGTCAGTGGTCACATCTGCTAGTATTTATGGGCCTAACATTGCACAAGAGGAGACTTAGAAACATAGCCTTTCTTTGTAAAATTAAGCTGCTTCCCTCCAGTCACCAAGGCTGGTATATATTCACTTTATCTGTCCTACTGCACCTGCTGCAACTTTCTCCTTCAAGCATTTACACCAGTGACTTGTGTGACTCTTTGGGATAGTTTGCAGAAGGAAGTGAGAGTCTTTATAGATTTACCTCCATTGCCATTTCTGTCCTGCAGAGTTTGGCTAGGAATAAATCAGTAGAAACAAACAAACAACAACAAAAAAAACTACTCCTTTTTGTTTTCAAGATAAATATTACATAAAATGAATCATGTTTTAGGTAGGCATACCAAATGTACCAAATCCTGACATGACCCTGCCTCTGTTCCTTGTCCTCTGAATGCTGTTCAGAGGGACGCTGAAGCTCAGCACTTCCAAGCATAAGCTACAATTCCCAGCTGCTGCCCGGCTGGAAAACTCTAGGCCTTTCTCTAAATCCTTACCAGCCCTTGCCTGGAGCAGTGTGACACCTCACGTAATGCAACGCCTTGTGGCCCATTTTGTCTTATCTGTAGCACAGAAAAGATCTACAGACGTTTTTGAATTCTTAAATTCTATTGAAAGCAATGGGTATTATGAGTCAAAACACCTTTGTGGATCTGGGCTGCAAACTTAACTAGAACAGGGCACAGCAAGTGCTCAGATGTCCAGGATCACTGTGAAAATGAAATGGCAGTGGGAGAGGTGATATCAAACAGAGATTTTTCTTCAAAAATTAAGCTGGAGCACATTTCAGGCCTTTCTGTGGTGCCTGCTCTTTGCACATGGTGTATGGAGACTCAACATGAGATCCAAAAGAGGCTACATGCTGCTCCTGGAACTGCTGAGAGGAGGGAAATATTGCAAAAAGAATGTGTCTTTCATCTCTTCCCTCTTGGCAGCCAAAATTTGAGGTCCATTGCTCAGAACACGTTGCTGAACGGGGCCACTCAACACACCCTGTACTCAAAATGTAGTTTTTTTATGTTGCTGCTAAAATACTTGCACAAATGTAAAAGGATTGTATTATATAAAAGTCTACAAGTACTTTATCTTCTCCTGGGAGGGTCCAAATCTACATCTCCTACTGCTTTCCAGCAAGGCCTCCTAACTGCTTGGTTAAAGATCACTCTGGACAAGAGTACCTTTGCTCTTCTTCCGCACAGAGCAGGTCTGGACATGAGTGCTTTGCACTATTGGAAGGAAAAGCATTTAATTATGCTTTAGAAAACATGAGTTGAAAGGGAAGAGTGCCCAAATAATTCTGCATAGATGAAGAATTATAGAGAAGGGGAAATCCAGGAATCCAATTCCTGCTAGAAGGATTGTTTCATGTCTTTCTGCTAATAATGGTCATGCAGGTAGGTTCTGTGAGCCCCATCTATGTCTTGATGCCTAAGAAACCGGAGAAGTGCCTACTGGTATGTGTTGACAGGTCCATGAAGCTTTCCTGAAAAAGGAGAAGGGTAAACGAACAAGCTACAATCACTTATGAAGTTAGTCCTTACTCTATGCCCAATATGTTTGTAACATTATTAAAGAACAGGTCAGTTTTGGGATGAGTTAAATACAACAGCTGTTGCAAATGCATAGATGAGGACAAGATCTCCCCCATGGTCCTCTGGCCCTTCCTCAGAAATGAGACACTCCTGTAGGAGAGGGGCTAGAAACTGCACATCTTTGAGAGATCAGGAGCAGACCTGCCTAAAATGAGCCTGGATGACCCAGCTGCAAGCAGCCTAGAAGCAGCAGCAGAAGACAGTTATCCCTCCCATCAGCTGTACGCAGCTGAGGAAGGAGAATTGGGTTGAGTGCTATTGACAAAACTTTCTGGATGGCCAGACTCTTTTTTTTTTTTTGGTAGGTTATTGTTTTGCAAAGTTGCTTTTTTTTTTTTTTTTTTTTTTTAAATCAAGTACTGATTTTTAACCTTCCCTCCTGAGGTTTTTTGTTTCAATCGCTTTGGGCTCATTATTTGCAGATGTGTAGCACAGTTTAACTTCCTGGTTTTCTGGGGCTGCAGAGTGTTGAGTTTTTAATTTTTTCTAAATCTGTGAAACAGAAAGTGGCCCTTCCTAGAAGGAGGCAGGAAAGAGATTGTGGATTTGAAAAGCAGAAGAGCAGGGTTTAAAGCCCCAAACTAACACTAAGCAAGAAAACTTCCCTCACTTTGCAGGTGCTTTTTCCTGAGACATCCCACCATACTGCCTTTTTCTGGTGCTTTTCTCTCTGCTTAATTTCTGATGCCCATATGTTTTCATACTAAGCCACATCCGCCCTTGTTTCAGGATACCTGGATCTGCTCTGCTTGTTTGAAGCCATCATCCTGTGGTCTGCCTAGGCTTTTCTGCATGGCTCAACCTCCCAGTCATGAATGGTGGTCAGTTCCTAAAGATTTTTCTTGGCTGACTGGCATATTGTATCAGGAAAGACACAGTGCCTGAAATCAGTAGGTGCCCAGTGCTAAATTAAGAAGGATAGCTCTTTTTTTCTGAGTAATTAAATCGTTTTCAAATGTTGTCCTAAATTTGTGTAAGGAAACATTAGCTTGTTAAAAATGTGCTTTGGAAATACCCTCTCAAGAGCATCAGTATGGCTTTGTTGTCGGTATTTGTATTAATGGCTTTTTGCTTTCTCAAAACCCATCTAAGGTTAAATCTAAGTTAACCACAGAAAAGGTCAAAAATTATTTCAAACTTTTCTGGAACACAATTAACTTAATATTTTAACAGCTGGCAGCTGCAGTAATTACTTTTAGATTATACCTGAAGTCTGTTGAAATATAATTACTCTGATCTATGAACCAGGTAATTAAGGTAAAAACTCCCACATTTTCTTAGACCTCATTAACTTATTTCCTTTGAAAATTGTTAGCTAATGATGATACATTAATAGTTTATCCATAAAATGACAATGAATAATTGAAATCTTTGTCCTGGGACATTAAAGGACAGAATAGTGTTTAACTGTTGAATGTCTTGATAATTATTTCTTAATTTCCAGTGCAAATATCTACTGGTTTTGGGAGAGAGGACCAATAAATCTCAGAAAATCGGGCAGAAAGATGCAGATGATTTTCTTTTCCTTTCACTTACATTGTATGCGGCTAATAATTCAAGACTTGTTCTGAAGTTCCCTTATGAACTTCATAACTTTGTAGGCTTCATAACATGAGCTTTCACTTATGAATAAGTGAAATGAATCAAATGCTGGTACAGCTGCTGTGGAATAAGATCATTGGATTCAGGACTCCTTGGGACTGACTTCACTGTACAGGTCGAGTTACTTTTTTGGTGCAAAGCACTATAGAGGGAATCCGTCTGTATTGAAATACTTGATTTGAGAAGTTTAAAAGTTGATTGCTGCTGTTCAGTAAAATAACAACTGCTGGAAAACGTCAACTCAAGACATTGGTTTTTAATCCCCGTTTCAAATAAAAGTTCTGGATTATTATTCGTTACACCATCAGGAAAATGGGAAATTGCATATCTGGTGGGATCCTTGTATACAGGGAAAAACAGTCTGAAACAAAATATAATTTGGTTTTATTTAGTTTTGCCCCCAATAATAACAGATTATATGAAAAGTACAAATAGCTAATAAAGTCAGATATTATGTCAGATATATTCCTCAGGAGAAGAATGAAGTCATGAGATAATTAAGAAAATTAAGGACAGAAATGTTGATTCAATAGGAGAGAAATGCACACGTGGCTCCTCATTAAATTCTGCTCTATGAAATTACCAAAACCAGATTACCAGATTCATTGCTCTTAAAAGATTAAATCAATCAATGCTGGAGCTGCTTTTTGTCAAGAAACTGGGTGCTGCCAGGTCAGCTCGCTTCAGAAGATTATATATTTCCAGTGGGTTAAACTTCTGGCTTGTAACCAAGTCTTCAATCAGTTTTCGGCCCAATTCTCTTCCTGTTTCGGTAGACATAGTCTTTCTCCAGAGTTTCAGCAGCAGTCCTCCTTGGAAAGAGACACAACATGACATCATCAAATTAGCATGAAGCGTACACAGCTCGCAGTGCACAGGGGATGTAGCAAACACCTACCACCCCTATGGACAGCAAGGTGAGGACAAAGCTGAGACAGGCTGAGGGCATATACAAGGACGTAAGTAGACACAGACCATCCATTCAGCTCAGGACCCTTGGTATTGATCAACAGCTGGGTTCGTTCCCTTGTCATCAGCGTGGAGAGTCAAAATCGTTGAAGGCAGATGCTCAGATCTTGTTCTGCAGTCGTGCAGAGCTCCCTGGCCTGGTACTTATAACCACGTGCTTTGCCGTCTTCTACTGTAGGTCCGCCAAGGTTTTGTGCTTCTCCCCAGCTAAGGCCTCAGGCTAAGGAGGCATAGGATCCCAGTTCCCCATCTAGATTATGAGAGGTGGCTCGTTATGGAAGCACATCTGGCCTGTCTAATATTACACTATCTTACAAGATATTCACTCATCTAGATTATGAGAGGTGGCTCATGGAAGCCATCTGGCCTGTCTAGTATTACACTATCTTACAAGATATTCACTGGCTGTCCCCCAGTGCTGTCCATACTGATCTTTATGATGAACCAGGGGGCCACAGAGGAAATCTGAGGGGAAAGAAAAGTCCCCTAGAAAGCAAAGAGGGGTTTAAACAGTCTCCTGAAAAAAGAAGCTTCTGCCAGTTTCATTCTCACAGGATTTTACCAGGGAGTGGAAGAGTTAAGAGAAAAAGGCTGCAAACACCCCTCTTCCCTACCCTAGCAGACAGATGCCTGTACTGCTCCACGCAATCAGGTGAGAACAGCAGGAGAAGCCCAGGACAACAAAGCTTCTGCTCTTTTACCTTGGCATATCAGTGAGAGGCAGAGCATAAAAAATAAAGCTTCTGTCTCTGTCACTCAAGAGATTTTAGAGGTGGCAGAGCACTCTCTGAGTGCAGCTCTCTGCTAGATGGAGAGAGGCAGGGAGGAGAAAATAAGGAGTATTGAATCAAGAAATCAAACGTCACTGTGTTTTGGACGAGGTCCCATCCTGTGAGGTGCTTTATTTGTTACCAAAGTTTCCAGCACCAGAAGAGCACTCCACATCTCAGATGATGCATTTGAAACTTTGAAGCAGCTGACTACTAAAGCAAGGTGTCGTGTTTTGTCATGAGTGTCACTTCAATAAGACCTAGCATTTCAGTTCCCTGCTCAGATGGTGGACCCAGACTCAAATCAAATATAGTCTGAAGCTCTGTTTCTGATCTGCAAAGCAGTCATTGGGCTGAGTTAGTAGGCATTTACCTCTCGGCTGAACACCAAGCTCATCACCTTATTAGCAAGACCAGGAAATCCCTGGCCTGCAGTGCCAGGGTTTCCAGCCTCTGACTTCGTTGTTGATGGCCTGCATCCACATGAAATGTCTCCAACCTCCCCTTATCATTGTTGTCTTCTGCATCCATGCTATTTGTCCTCCCTCTCTCCACTGCTGCCTTTGTGCTCTGGTCCCCACTTACCCATGCTCTGCTGTGTTGTGGTCTCCCCTTGCTGGTCATGCTTTTCCCTGCCTTGCTTCCCCTCTCACCAAGGGGATGGGTACTGGAGACAGCTATAGAAAGCCTGCGTGGCAGGATGGATCACTGGCATGGGACAAAGCTGTAAAAGTGCCTCGATCAGGCTATGAGGCTTCCTTCACATTTTGTGGAACGTGTAAGGGAAGCACTTGGAGGGTGAGGATGCTATTTTGTAACATTTAATAGTTTCAGTAAATGGCTTTTTTCTGCTAGGAAATACACGTAGCATGAGCGCTTTCACTGAAATATATAGGCAGAAGAAAAAGATCACAAAACAACTTCCACAGCTATGGATAATCATTTTATAATGTAGGAATCCTTTGTTTTATATGGTATTTTCACTTAAAGACGCAAAAAAAAATCCTTCATAAAGGAGGAAAAAAAAGTGCCACCTGAGTAAACTAAAGTTGAATGGAAGTATGCACTCAAGCCACGGAAGTATGTAATTCTGCATGTCACCACTGGATGGTGATGCACAACTTATTTTAGATAAAGTGATGCAGCCAAGATTGTCTAACAAGATAGTTTGCTAAAACGGGTTATATTTGGTTATTATATCTGGATTGAGAGAAGAAAAATAGAGAATACTTTTGGGCACACAAACTGTTGTTCATGACAGCCTTTTTTTGCTAATGATCCCAGCTAATCTAACAACTTCATTTATAGCCTTAATATTTTCAGATTTATCTGGAGAAATGCAAACTAGTTTTTCTTTGAAATATGAAGGAAAAAGTTAGGTCAATTGCTCAAGGAAATGATGCATTTAACTCGTGTGAAATCTTCATGTGTGAAAACTCATTTCATGAGTTCTGTCACAGGAAGCTTTGGGTGTGTTATGATTTTATTTTTATTGTACTACGCTATCAGTAGCATCTACTATTTTATATTGAAAGTCACTGTGATCATTTGGAGAAAAGTTTACAGAGAATAAGATATCAAATATATATGAACTTCAGATATATGCAGATTGAACTCATACCTGTTAATTTATTTGTCTTGTGAAGAGCACTCAGTGAAAACAAGACTTTGTTTTGTTGTGTACTGAAGTCATAGATGAATGGGATAACATCTCCTTCAACAAGCATCCTCTGAGGCAGGAAAACCTGGAAGTGGTTTGTATTCCACAAATCTGTAGAGAAGTGTGTGGCTGCAATGAAATCTACACCACTAGCCCAGTCTTCTCCAAAATTTGCTTCTGGATCAGAGAGATATATTAATCTGAAAGAAATCAAAAGGAAAATGTAACAGATAGATAATTGAAATCCAACACAGAACTCATTAGTCTATCATTTAGCCCGAACATATTTATTCATTATAATATTCTGAGCAGTCTCAATGTCAGTGTCTTAAACTCACCTTCAGCCTTTTATGCCTAGAGACATCATTGCCTCTAGGCCAGATTAGCCAAAGCTTATGCTCTGAATCCCAGGCCCCAAAGTGTGCACAGCATCTTATTTTTAAGCACATAGCATGGCATGGCCCACTGGTGGCAGCCTGGACAGTTAGCAATGCAGGGACTGCAACTCTTATTGCCATGCAGTTCTTGGCTCCAAGAGAGCCAAAGAGCAGAGCTGCAGAAAGCATATATTGACTTTAGTCAGATATTATCCTTACCAACAGACAAAGAAGTGGTGAAGGTTCCTTTTGACCGTGGGTCTGATTCTCTTACCTGTCCTGGAACCTAGGTAAAGCATAAGCAATGGATGCCACATGTGCCTTCCACAGGTGACCAAGGGCATCATCCAGGCTGAAGGAGGATTGTGTTGTAGGGCTCTCAGTTTTTTGGTCTGTAGATAATAAATACTACAACAAAAGGGGATAAAAGTCAGAAAAAATAATTCTGTCTTTTTTTTCAAAGCCTGATTTTGGATTTATGCATATAGTTCACAAAACAGTAAGTTTGCAAGCTGAATAAAATTGCTTTTCAATAGACAAAATGGGTTGCTTTCACTTTCTAAGTAATAGCAGTACTTGGTATTGAGAGAAAAAGTTGTTCAATATAGAGGTACAAACCAAATTCTTATCTCCATTGAAGTTAATGGGATTTGCATGTCTGCTTTCGACTGATGAAGTAATGTGATTTAGGCTAAGTGATCTGTTGCAATAGTTCAGTGGACTTTTCTGTCTGAGTGTCATGGAAGCTTTCATGATACAATAGTTGGATTCCTTGAAGTTCTTTCAGCTGCAACTGATCAAGATTTTCAGAAAATAAGTGGCTCCTAATGGCTGTCAGTAAGGCTATTCAAGTAGTAGACCTTTTATACTGTCTAAACTTTCTAAACTTTTGTTAAGGAAAAAGAAACTTAAGAAAACAGATAAAAACATAGTCACAGATCCCATCTTCCTTTATAATCTCTTGTTCCATTTGGAGTTGCCAGGAGGGTTTACACTTTATTTTATTTATTCATTTTTCAGATGTTAGCAAGAATAAATAAATCCTGTAAAACCATCATTTCATTTTAAATGGTAATATTCTATCTCACATACTTATTTTGCATTGCTAGTATAAGCAGTATAGTAACCTTGTAACTGTTAACACAACAGCTTCATGGGGCACAATCGAAAGTATGGGATTATTCTGAAAGGAAGGAACAAATCCATAGCCTGTAAAAATCCTGGACTTCTCTGTCTCCCTTTATGTCAAGCTTTTCATTTTTCCTGCTTATTACTTATGTATCATGCTGTTACTTACAACAAACCAAGCCCTCTGAATCTTACAAACAATAATAATTTTAAAGTGATTTGCTGGCATAGTTTTCTGTAAAATATAAAGTAAAAATTATTTACTTCAAAATAGGTCTTCCACTCATCCATGAGCTCGGGAATGTGAGAACGGCAGTCAGCAACACTGTAACAAAAATAATCTCTTAACTCCTCTGGTGGTAATATTTCTATTTCATACGGCAACTCTCCAAAAAGGCCAGCTTCCACTGCACCCAGAAAGGGTATAATAGCCAGATAGTAATTAATACCTGTAACAATAATTAGAAAAGATTTTAACCACAAGCAAATTAAAAAACATACAAACAAACAAAAACCTAAACATTCTCTAAAACCAAATACAAGTCTTTCAAATTGCCACTGATACAACTGTGTTCAGCAATATAATGTACTAAAGATGGCATCTGTATTGATTTCTATATGATTTATAACATTCCTTTATATATTGCTCATTAGTAACTTTGCATGAGTTGAGAGTGCCGTACTTTGCAGGAAAGGATACACAATTGGAAAAAAAATAGGTTTCTATAGGTTATAATGGAGAGGACATTACAGGCCTCTCAAATGTTGGTTGCCAGACAGGCACAGAAAACAAGTTTTAGGGTGAAAAAAAAGTGACTCCAGGAGTACAGTTTACATAAAAAACTCCATAGACATGCTAAGCATGTAAGAAAGAGAAAGGCAAATACTATTGATATTTTACCATAAAATGGTAAGTTTGCTTTCAAAAAAAAAAAAAAAAAGAGAATCTCAAAAAATAAATCTTCTTGCAAATGACCTCGATAGATTTATTTACATTTCTTTTAGGATAGTCTCTTCCTATGATCTGATCCACCTGCTAGAGCATTTATCCAGCCTGAAGGAAGACCAGGTTCAGTTCCTATCTCTGCCTGACCACATCTCTGTGAAAGTGTCCACATGGCTACTGGATAGTCTTCATATGGAAGGAGAAATTCAAATACTTCTCCCTCTCCCTTCTCTGTCTCTTCTCTTTTTCTTTCTTTTATTTTTTTTTTAAGAAAAAGAATTGTTTAATAACTTTCAGACTTTCAGTGAAGGAAAACCTGGACTTTATATATTCTATGTCTTGGATGAGTAGTGCTTTACACATGCTGACGCTTGGGACGACTGGCTTCCTACAGATTTAGTACATAGTTTCAGCAATAAGATGAAACTGAGCTGGGCCTTGCTTCTTGTTCACTGTTTTCATGAGATGTGTTGAAATTTGGACTTCATATTGGAAAATATTTGTGTTCTTTTAAAAGTGCCTTCATATATTACGTATTTATGCCTGCCTGGGGACTCAGAGAACAGAAAATAATGCAAAAAGGAATGCAATTCCACAGGAAGAGGAAGAACTTCTTAGGCAGCAATTGTGTGGTGTCTCATACACCTCAGGGAATACCAAATGCCAGCTCCTGGTTGAGTTTCATTCCTGTCTTGGTATGACTATGTGGGCCAGAGAGAGCTGCCCTAAAAGTTCACCAAAAGCATGCACATTCTTAAAGCAGTGCATGACGCTTCTGTATCCTCTGCAAGATTTCTGCAGGTCTCCTGTGGTAGTAAGATGAAAAAGGCTGAGTTTGTAAACTTTCTGGAGGCATCAAAATGAGTGTCAGGTGATAGTGTTGTTTTTAAATCAAGGGAGGCAGTGAGGAGGATGGTGCTGGCCTCTTTTCACTGGTGGCAACCAACAGAACTAGAGGAAGCGGCCGGAAACTGAAGCATCAAAAGTTCCATGGGAATTTAAGGAAAAATTTCTTATCAGTGAGGGTGACAGAGCACTGGAACAGGTTGCCCAGAGAGGTTGTGGAGTCTCCTTGTCTGGACATCTTCAAAACCCATTTGGATGCAGTCCTGTGCCACGTGCTCTAAGTGAGCCTGCATGTGCAGGGGGGTTGGACTAGACGACCTCTAGAGGTCCCTTCCAACCTTAACGATTCTATGATCCTATGGTTCTATGAAGTGAGGAACAGGAATGCAAACGCTAAGGAATTAGAGGAAGTTTCTGTTCCAGGGAGGTCACCTGGTTGTGCAGCACTAAGCAATGACTGTTCTTACTCAATCACTACCTGAGACACCTTTCCCTGGAGGATCTAGTGCTTGCCAGCCTCAGAGACAGTAAATCAAACTGATTGGTTGTACCAAGTATTGCAGTGTCTTTTGGCTCTACTCTAAATTTACATATTTAATTTGCTTACATCTTTGATCACATAAAATATGTGCATTTAATTTTTGGCTCACTGCCTGAAGTTTTATGCAACCTCAATAACAAAGTAGCCATGTGGCAAGGAGGGGTAAGTTGTTTAAGACAGCTCGCCAGCAGGTCTCGTGGAGGAGGAGAGCTTGCAACAAGAGAGTCCAAGTGAGGAAGCAAAGGAAATGAAGACGAGAGATAATGGAGGAAAAGTGCCAGAGGTTGAAAGAGGGGCAGTTGTCCTCTAGGAAGAGAAAGAACATAGAAACTAAAAGATTGATGAGGCTTTTTACTTACTTAAAAAGAGATTTTTGTGATGTTATTGCCTTTATATAGAACTGTTGGCTGTAAGCTATAGGTCAGGCTTGTCTTTTTTTTTTTTTTTTTCCATCCTACCTGTCAGTTCCATCTCTGAAAAAGTAGAGAAAAAAATTCCAAAAGGGTCTGAGTTCCAATTTCAGAAAAAAATCATTTATTCAGAAAATAAAAAAGGAGTCTAGAAAGCACTGATTTTCACTCAGATTAAAAAAAAAATAGAAATTGTAGACTTTTCAAATAATTTGTTCATTCAGCTTTGAAAAATGGCAACAAAAATATGTTTGGAAGTTTTGTATGCAGAGTGACTATAATACACCACACAGTTTGGGAGTAGGCAAATTAATTATACATATTTGTTTCATCAGGTGAGAAAACATTCTGTCCTTTATGAGAAAATATAATTGTGTGTCCTTTATATTTTCTCGATAGGCTCAACAAAAACATCAAGATGGTTGGCAATATTATTTTCCACCAGCTCTGTGGAAATCTAGCTACACATTATCGTTTGAGTAGACATAGGTACCTACTGCAGAAAATAGCAGAGGGAAATAAGATTATTAGAAAAACATTAAAATCATTAACATTAAGAAGCAACATTAAGAACACTAAATACTCAGTTGGTAGTTGGAACTGTCAGATTTCTTGCTTGAGCAAATATAAGGCCCTTGAGACAAAGCATGTTGTAGTATTGGTGCTTTTTCTACAGATACTGTAAGTGATATCCCCTAGACTACCTTAGCCCATGATAAATAGATATCCTTGAGTTGTACAGAGCAAAGATTACAAACCTAATATCACCGTTTTTGTGAAAACACTGGCCCCTATAAAGCTTAATATTTGCTTAAGTGTAATGGATAGACCCATTCTCCAGTTAGATCAGAGATACATATTTTTACTACTAAAATGCTGATGTGCTTCATGCTACAAGAAACTGTGCAGACCATCAAAAACAGCTGCTTGGTCCCTCCAGTTTAGTAGGGACACCTATGAATGACCTGAATTATCACAAGTATCCAAGAAGTTTGGGTATTTCCATTTCAGAAGGGCTGTTTGAATTAGTTGGATGTGTATTTTTGAGACGTTGAGACTGCCACTGGGACTGACACTGGAAATTCTGATCTTTACACTCATTTCTCTCTCTGCCTTCAGGCTTTCTACTTAAGGGAATAATGCGATATCTTTAATACAATTTCAGCTCACTAAGAATCTAAAGCCAGTATTAAAGTAAGCATAAATTATCTTATAGCTCTAGTTTCAGTTAGATACTTGAAAACCCACTGGATAAATGCTTTCATCATAATGAAGATAATGAAGTTATTTGAGTGTCATGGTCATAATATCTCCCTTTATTTTCCCTTTCGTAGTCAACTGCGAAGATACAAATGAAAGCCGAAATGTCTAATCATGTATCAAGGATGATACAAGAACCACAAAGGTTCCTGCTTGACATTCTCACACTAAGTTTGAGTTTGAAGTGCCAGTATTTAAACTGAACTAATCTGGAGTCTCTTTCTTTGGAGATATTGAGAACCTGCCTGGATGCAATCCTGTGTAATGTGCTCTAGGTGTCCCTGCTTGAAGAAGGGGGTTGGACTAGATGATCTCTAGAGGTCCTTTCCAGCCTCAAGCATTCTGTGATTCTGTGAAATCTGGCATGGAGTGATTTAAAAATGTAATCTCTACAAATGTCTACAAATATAGGTACCCAACAGGTATTTCCCGCGTATTTTTTCATAAATTTTTGAAATGCAAACATCTCTTAAGGCTCCTTTTTTTCAGAAAAGTTATCAAGGTCAGTTAGTTTTAATTTACTTAGTCATACTGAGATGTCAGGCTCAATTTTTTTAATGAAGAGCTATGTAACACTGAAATTAATTTTTAATATAGAAGATCAAGTGGACAAGAGATTCTGAATTGCCATCTAGGGCATAAATCATATTTTGGAGAAGAATAGTATAAAAGCATATACTTACAGGCCCACCAGCTTCTTACAGATATGTACAGAAGGTCTCCAGCTTCAGAGCCACTGGAAGTCACACTGGAAGGATCTGCTAATCTGCCTGAATCAAATGAAACAACATGCCAAATGTTTCTCAATCTTTTTCACATAAAAACCCCTCTGAGGCCAAAAAAAAAACTTATACAAGTAAGGCATGCAGAATTTTGCTCAGAGAAGCAAAAAAATACTGTTGTTCTGCTTCATAAACTACTGTTCTTACAGTACCTGAATTTCTCAGTCAATACCTCATACAGTGCATAACAATCTGACTGTGCTTTGCAGTTGAATTTATTGCTTACTGTAAAAGTATTCTGAGTTTTATGAAACTGTCTGAAAGCAGAACTTAACAAGCTGATATTTTTATAGAGATATAAATACACATGCCCATAAGGACGTAACTGCATGCAAAACTGACACATTTTTGATAGAGGTAAAGGTGATAATGTAATGAGCAGAATAGCATAAAATTAATGTGCTGGTAATTGCCTCACCTAGTGAGCAGGTATGATAGAGAATCCCTTCCAGTTTAACCGTACATACAAGCAGGCTCTTAATGTAAATATATACAAGCAAACATTGTTGTATCTGGTTAGCAGAGTTTAGAGGCGCCTATGTTCTTGCAAACATTCAAGACATTTCACATGAAGACAAGTAAAGACATTTAACTTTAAGAAAAGATTGATTAAGCATTGGAACAGGCTGCTCAGGGAAGTGGTGGAGTCACCAGCCCTGGCAGTGTTCAAGAAATGTGTAGATGAGGCACTTGAGGACATAGTTTAGCAGGCATGGTGATGATAGGTTTACCGTTGGACTGGGTGATCTTGAAGGTCTTTTCCAACCACAATGATTCTGTGATTCTACATTATATGAAGAAATAGCTTAACTCATCAAAGCACTTAGATATGTACATAATGTAGATATGTAAGTATGTATGTAGTGAGTCAGGAAGCCTGCTTAATGACATGCAGTTACCATGATCAGGTCCAGTGATATGAGCTGATTCTGTCACTCAAAAAACACCCTGCAGAGTACATACCCTCTGATGACTAAGCTGAATACAATCATTGTCATTCATGTCATGTCAGAACTAACCTTCATGCCTTCATGACATTAACAACTGGTGTTTGTGTTAAGACACCTGGTACTGTTTTCTCAGAGAGAAGAGATGATCATGAATTGTGCGCATATACATTTTCCTAACTATCCTTCCCAGTTGACTGGATGGAGCTTGTGGGCTAGGGAATGCTAGCTGATCAAGCACAAAGTCTTTCAGTAGGAAAGCACTGAAAGCAGGAGCTTGCACTGGAGAGAAATGCACTTTTTTTTTTTTTTGTATGAAGACTGGTGTTTCTAAGCATTGTAAACACAGAACCCTTTTTTCCTTCACACTTTTTTTGTCTTCAGCAGACAGTTGGAAGTAGCCTCATGATCACAGGCCCTGGTTCCCCTTGGAGACTTCAGTCCCCCTGATATCTGTCTTTCCAGACAACACAGATAGGCACAAACAGTCCAGTAGGTTCTTATACAGCATTGATGACAACTTTTTGACACAGGTGGTATCAGTCAAAGGGAAGAGGTGTGCTGCTGGAACTTGTACTAACAAATAAAGAAGGACTGGTTGGAGATGTGAAGGTTGGGGGCTGCCTTGGCTGCAGTGAGCATGGGATGGTGGAGTTCAGGATCCTGTGAGAAGAAAGCAGGATGGCAAGTACTATTGCAAACCTAGACTTCAGGAGAGCAATTTTTCACCTCTTCAAGGACCTACTTGAAGGAATCTCATGGATTAGGGCCGTAGAAAGAAGAGGAAGGGTCCAAGAGAGTATTGAAGCATTAGTGGTGCATCCCTTTGACTAAAAAGTAAGGAAAGTGGGCAGGAGATCTGAGTGGATGAACGAAGAGCTCCAGGTAAAACTCAAACAGAAGAAGGAAGTATACAGAATGCAGAAAAAAAGAGATAAGCCACTTGGGAGGAATATAGGAATGATGTCAGAGTATGCTGAGATACAATGAGGAAGACTAAGGCCTGCTTGGAATTAAATCTGGCAAGGAATGTTAAGGACAACAAGAAGGACTTCTTCAAATACATTAACAGCAAAAGGAAGACTAGGGAAAATGTGGGTCCACTGCTGAATGTGGTGGGTGTTCTGGTGATGAAGGATACAGAGAAGGCAGAGTTACTGAATGCCACCTTTTCTTTAATCTTTACTAAGGCCAGCCCTCAGGAATCCAAGACTGTGGAGACAAACGTCTTAAAGTGAAGACTTTCCTGTACTTGAGGAGTATTGTGTTAAAGATCGTTCAGGCAAACCTGACAACAAATCTGTGAGGCCCTCACAGGAATGTGATTAGCAATTCAAAGTCTAGTTGGAGGCCCACAGCTAGCACTGTCCCTCAGGGGTCCATATCCAGTCTTGTTCAACTTCTTCATCAGTGACCTGGACAGAGCGCACCCTCAGCAGATTTGCTGATGATCCAAGACTGGGAAGAGTGGCTGATGCACCAGAAGATTGTGCTTCAGAGATACCTGGACAGGCTGGAAATTTGAGCGAGAGGAACCTCATGAAGTTAACAAAATACAAGATTCTGCATCTAGGGAGGACCTTGCACTCCATGCAGGTTGGGGACTGACCTGCTGGAAAGCAGATTGACAGAGAAGGACTTGAAAACCCTGGTGAACAACAAGTTGACCATGTGCCAGCAACGGTCTTGGTCTTGTGACCAAGAAGACCGATGCTATCTTGAGTTGCACTCGGAAGAGTGTTGCCAGAAGGGAGGTGATCTTCCTCCTCTACTCAGCCCTGCAAAGGCCACATCTAGAGTGCTGTGTCCAGTACTCTAGGGCTCCACAGTACAAGAGAGACATGGAACTACTGCAGAGAGTCCAGCACAGGGCTATGAAGATAATAAGGGGACTGGAGCATCTCTTCTGTGAGGAAAGGCAGAGAGAGCTGTGTCTGTTTAGCCCAGAGAGGAGAAAACTGAAAGAGGATCTTGTCAGTGTATACAAATATCTTCAGGGAGAGTGTAAAGACAATTGGACCAAATTATTTTCAGCAGTGCCCAGCAATAGGAAAGAGGCAACAAGCACAAGCTGAAAAGCAGAAAGTTCTATCTGAACATGAGGAAAAACTTCCTGACAGAGTGACAGAGTGACAAAGAGTGACAAAGCACTGGAATAGGCTGCCCAGAGAGATTGTGAAGTCTCCTTCTCTACTTATATTCAACCCGGCCCTGGACATGATCCTGGACAGCATGCTCTAGGTGACCCTGCTTGAGCAGGAGCGTTGGACTAAATAATCTCCAGAGGTCCCTTCCAAACTCAACCATTCTGTGATTCAGGAATATCTGAGGCCGACAATATTTGTTCTCAATTCTGTACGGGGAAAGTCAGAATCTTCTGCAATGACCTGGGATTACCTGGTAATACTTATACTTTCTTTGGTAGCATTGTACACATAGCTGTTCTTACTCAAATCCAACTTTGATTGTGGAGAAGATTCCGTCATCTTCATATTATTGTATTTTCCTAAATAATTTGGATGTTTCCCAATTCTATCCACACTATCGTTTATTCTTTATTGTCTAGCACATCATTAAGATAGAATGCTGTTCTATTTCTTATACCTTTAACTGTCATATTTCTCAGCAACATATAACTTTCACGACCAGCGAGGACTGTGAACAATGTATTTCACATGCTTTTTGAGGGTGCTTTGTTGTCCTGCACTATGAATTCAGGTCTTCCATTTGACTGTCCAAGCTCATTATATTGATACACAAATACTTCACTCCTCACTGTTCTAAGCAGGCTGTCTACCTGGATTACTAACTACTAGCCTCACTACTACACATGCCAAAATTCTGTCTTTTCTTTCCCCTTTTTCCACTTAACCTTCAACATACTTATCAATTCCAGCAATGTTAAACTCTGTCTCAAAGTCTGTCATCTCTTACGTCCAGGAGGTGTCAATTCGTCAAGAAAAGTCCTCTGCCACTGCCTGCTTGGTAATACTGAAATTCATCTTGCATCACATTACCATGACTAGAAGTCTCTGATGGCCTTTATTGTCTTGTCATACTTTCATCAGATCCTCCTCCACTAGGATCTGAAAGAGGTAAATCATTCCACTGAATGATTCAGATTTCTTTCTTTCCCAAACTTCTTTCCCAGTACTGCAAGAGATGAGACCATGCTACCTAAACAGGTTGCCCTCTGCAGGTCCTCCTTCTAGTGCAGCTTCTGCAAACAGTCTTCCTTGTCCTTACCATGTGCTGGATCAGCTCTTCTGCTGCATCCCATATATAAAGACGCATAGGGCAAAAGCCTACCTAAACTCCAAACATCTTTAAAAAAATTGTCAGGTAGTTGTCTGCTTGAACTTCACTTACTCTCTCTCCTTTTCATCTTTTTGCCTAACAATTGTTTTCCATGCTGGCAGCCTTCCTTCACCAGCTGCAGAGTCTCCATCTTTCTGCAAACAAACATCCAGCCAAACCACCACTTCACAGAACTATAGATTGTCACCAGTAAACTGAACAACAAGTGGAGAAATATATTTGCTTATAGGTAGGTGGAAAGAAGGATTTACTCTCTCTCCTTTTCATCTTTTTGCCTAACAATTGTTTTCCATGCTGGCAGCCTTCCTTCACCAGCTGCAGAGTCTCCATCTTTCTGCAAACAAACATCCAGCCAAACCACCACTTCACAGAACTATAGATTGTCACCAGTAAACTGAACAACAAGTGGAGAAATATATTTGCTTATAGGTAGGTGGAAAGAAGGATTTACCACACAGTGCTGGCACAAGTTCCAACAAGCATTGCTGATTATTGTTCTCTTCTCCCCACTTCTTCTAGTTACTAGAATAGGGTTGTTAAGTTAGTTAACTCCAGCTTTGAATGAAAAGCTTCACTGTGTGTGAAGCAATGAGCAGAGAACACATTTTCTGATAAACCCTTGATAAGATATTGCAGCCTTAACCTCAAAGGACTTTTCACACATGAAATGGCCAACAAACAGACAGGAATGAAAGCCCCAGATAGCAGTAGGCTTTTGTAAAATGAGCCACAAGAATTTGAAGCTCGTTAGAAAAACCCAGAAAAAATATACCTGCTAAAGTGCACTTTTTTTTCTTTAAATATATTTAAAATATAACAAGTCTACTTCTAAATTCATCTAGAAGAGTGAAAAGTGAAACAAATTCTGAGTGGTGAAGCGGATTTTCAATCATCTGTATTTTAAATAAAACTCAAACCAGTGATAAAAGTCCAGAAAATGAACAGACCAATAAAATAAAATAAAATAAATAAAGCAAACAACTAACAAATTCAGAACAATACTGCAAAGTTGCAAAGTGCAGGTTATAAATTTAGCTTCAATATTCTGGAATAACTGGAATATCTTTGGAAGTATTTTCAGCAAATTGCAAAAATACTCTCTTCATTTGATCTAGTAGTATTTCTTAACCACAAACCTTTTGGATTCTAATCAGTTATATGGGTAGCAATGTCTTTTCCTATCAGAAAGTTCAGTGTCTGTTGTTCAAACAGGCAAGTTTGCCTTAATTCAGAAATTCTCATTCAAATCATCATCTAGCAGAGTATGTCAAAATTTAGACTGTCTGAGGCTGCACTGGGCTTGCAAAGCAGAAAACTTGGAAGCAATGACCCAGAATGGCTCTGATAAACATGAAGCTGTTTCTACTGCTTAAAGACATAATTCATACCTGTACGAAATTGCCACCCATGCTGTAATGGCAATCCCCAGAGAATATTACCAAAATTGTGGGATCCAAAAGCAGTAAAATATTTAGCTGAAGCGTTTAGCAAATTCTTATACACTCCCAGTCGTTCTCGGTAGTTCCAAGCATTGATGACAATTGTGTTGTCTTCTACTGGGAAATCCAGCAGGTTTTCAGGGGCAGAATCCCACAGAGGAGGATAGATATCTTCCCTGATGGCATTTTTTCCTCTGATGGTAGCCTCTGAATTCAGCGTAGCAGTTGCTACAAGAACGAGAGCATGTATGCCAAAGTATGCCCACATCGTGGAGGTTTGTGACCCAGGTGTTTGTTGCCACACGACCTTTATTGACCATGAGGGCTGGGCAAAAAGAGTGAGTCAAGCAGAACGGGTCTCCTGTCTCCTTCCCTCTTTCCTGTGAGCCTGACGTGGCACTGTCAGATTAGCAAGCTGTGAGTAACACTGAGACCTCCGTCCTCCCATCGAGAGCTGGGGAGGAGCAGCCCACAATACATACATAGCCCCCAGGCCAGAGCCCACCTGTCTGTAAGGCCATTGCACGATGGTATTGGTTATAGTGGCATCATATACCCTTTTGTCCATGTATTTTTTAAGAGCTGATATCTTCCTTTTCTCTGCCTAGCTCTTCAGCATTAATAATGGACAACAATATTGCAGATGTGAGGACTCCTGTGATGTTATCTGGACATGAGTGGTGTCAGTTGATGGGTATTGACTCATACAATCACCTCAGAGATACCAGCATTTTAAATAAGCGGAAGATTAAGGAAGATAGATAGTGAATAGTGGCAGCATTGTTATTTTAATCATCAGTTTCTTGACAAGTTCTTACTCTGCTAGTTACTCAGCAATGTTTAGTTCTTTCAGACCTCAGTGCAAAAGCAAGTCCTGGAAAAGTCTGTAGATTATGATAGACAGTAAATTCAGGACTGATAGGCAGTTTTCAGAAGGGTTGCAGAGCTTGCCTCAAGATGACACCAAAAATGCTAATAAACAGCGATACTAAGCTAGATTAGTCAAGGTGATGTATTAACAGCATTATTCTGTTGTCTGCAGAGAAAAAGCAGGCTGTTGATAAGAAGCTTATAAAAGAAGATATGTTATCATTTATGTTGTCATGGTCCTAATGTCATGTCCCAAAGCACGTAATAGCTAGGCAGCTAGACTAAGTTAGTTCCTTCTAAGTTCCTTCTACAGTCAATGTTGAGAGAAATATGCTCCCATAAGGTGATGCATCTTAATAAAGGTTCCCAAGGTGCTCACAGAAATTTCTCTCTAGAGAGAACATCCTCTTTACATTGACTACAGATGAATTTTAAACAACTATATCATTCTTTCAAACAGTTTCTCACTTGACTGAGTGAGTTGACGCTTACCTTTAAAGGGTGTACTATTTGGAATACAGCAATACATGGAGGTCAAACAGACATAAAAAAGCCATTTGTTTCAAGGCTGTACAATATCAAAGCATCCTTAATGTGTGTGCAAGGAAGGAGTGTATTCACCAGTATTTTTCCATCAGTCTGACAGAAATAAAGACAACCTCCAATGAAGTGGACTATAAGAAAAATGACAGCCCATATGTGGTCCCAAAAGAATTAAGACATAGAAATCCTTAGTCTTCATAAGACACTGAGGAAAGAACTGACAAGTTGCTAAAGATGAGGCATCATTTGACTCACTGGAAAACAAACAAACAAACAAACAAACTAGAACTCAAACACAGCTTTGCAGGTGAGAAACCTTCATGTAACCTAAGGATGGCATTTTCTTTCAGGCACTTAAGACAGCATTTAAGAGAAAGGTTCACCCACTAATATTTAGGGCAAAAGTCCTAGAGGGAAGAAGCATGAGTGTTGTTTTGGATAGAATAATAGTCTAGTTAAGCCCTTTAGTCACCTGGCACCTTTGCCATTTGCACCAACAGCTATGAGTGCTTCCGGGCTATGAGTGTGCAGCAGTCTAGTGCTGCAGCCAGTCCAGGATAAACTAGACGATGCTGTTGCTGAAAACATTTGTGATGTATTTTTCTGGATAACCCTGTAGTAGTGTATATGTCTAGTTTGATTACCAATTTCTGTTGCTATTGTCTGAGGTTATCTCTCTAAACACATTTTCTACTTCTTTTTGTCAAAGGCCTTTGGTACTTGGCAGGGGCGATCTTTATGGCTTTCAGCAAAATACCACAAGAAGGCTATAAACAGGTTTCTAAATTCCTATCTCACTTCTCTTAGGTGTGGTTGTAAGGAAAGATCATGAGCCAAAGGTCATGGCCATGTGGGTGGCCTCCGTTCCTAATTCAGTGGTACAAGTGACCATCTACAAACTGAGTGATTATAGTTCACTTGTGGTGAAGCAAGAAGGAGGCACTCTGTCTTCATATCTTGGCTCCTCCATGCATCCTTAGGCTTAATACTTCTCCTTCTTTGGAAAACATCATTCTCATGCTATTTCTTCACCTCATTTCTTTGTTAAAAGAATCTTATTTTAACTCCTTCTTTTAGAAGATTCCAAAGAATAATTCTCTTCTTTGTTAAAAGAAATGTGGGCTAAACCGATCACAGGGTATCTATAGTGCTCAGCACCTACAGATAAGGTCTTCCTCATCTATTCTTCAGTAACATTTACCATTAAAGGCTCCAAACACATCTGCAAAATGTGATGAAACCCATTTGTCTGAGGCAGACATAAAAAATTCTCATGGAAACACATATTTAAAATAGGTGAAATCAAAATAGATATAATTCTGAAAGCACCAAGATGATGGCAAATTTTCAATATATCTAGTTTTCCTCAGAGATAGTTACTCAAACATAGAGCTAAATTCACTTATAAATTCAAATAAATCTTTTGCTGATCATCTGTATATCTAAACTAAACTAAACTGTAGGAAAAAAATAACAATCACACTGTGAGTTGGTTTTATTTAAATATTTCATTAATTATGCATCCACTTATAAAACAAATTAATTGAAACCACATTTATATTTTTAGCATAGCATTTTAATTAGATGAAAATGAAAATAAGTGAAATATCTAATTAGAAAAAAAAATCAGCCTAATGCAAAGATGCAGCAAAAGAAAGTCACAAGCAACCAAAGCTGTAAACCTGGAGCCAGATGTCACCTTGCCCAGATTACATGATGCGAAGTAGGCAAAATGACAGAATCAATTAGAATCTTGGACTGAAACTCTCTTTTTTTTTTTTTTTGTCAGTTGGAAGAGATAAATAATGAATCAAAAAAAAATAGATCAGGAGATATTTTCTCCTCTTCAAACTCATAGACTGCAGAGATAATTTTCATAGGTCTGCGATCCATCTTTTTCCTTTTGCAGCCATTTTTCCTTGGATGAAAAAAAAATGAAAGGGGAAAAGGTTCCTTGCAAGAAAGCAAAGTAAAGCTATAAAAAATGTTTCTCAAATAAATAAATTAGGTTTTATTGTGCAAGCAGACAAAATAAGTTTTAGTACAAGACATTCCTAAAGAAATGTAGACATATTTTGAAAGTAAAAGTGGAAGGTATAAATAATCCTTATGTTTATTTTCTGATTCTACTTTTGCCATTGGAAAGAATAACACTTTTGTTTCTAATTGATATTCTGTGTTGGTATAGAATGAACAATTTGGTTCTGCTGTTTCATTCACCATGACAGTGGTAGCTTTTTCAAGACCAAACAGATTTCAGACTTGTATAGGGAACTGTGAATAACTTCCTAGAAGAAATACCAAGCACATTTGGTTAAATTAATATATATACCTATGTCCTACATCGTATTAGTCCTATCTAAAAAACAAACTTGGTAGTTTGGACCTTGGAAAGGTATGCTGGGTGCAAATAAGTGCATGGGCAGATGATAAAAGAGAGAAAAATCTTTGAATATTGAAAGTTACTTGGCAATAATACTGGCCAGCGAAGCAATATTTCATTTCATCTTGAAATAAAAACTATTGACAGTAGGTGGAGAGATGTCACACCACAAAGTTGAAAGATGCTGGAGCGTATTTCCTAAAAAAAAAAAAATATTTTCCTGGAAAACATTATATTTCTATTGTTCACTTTTTCAATGGCCTTGGTTCACTCTTCTTCACTCCTATTTCTTTTTTGATCACATCCCAGACTGCATTGCCTGGAAGCTACCCGGAACACTACTGGTGAAATTTCTCACATACCATGAATTCGTATACACCTACATCATTTCCATAGCAGAAATGCATAATAATGCATTGTGATTCATGAGAAATGTAGGTGATGCACTCATCTCTGTACAAAGTACTTGCTCAAAGATATGAGGATGTGAGAACTAATGCATGATATTTCCTGATAGCTGAAAGCAAGCATAGACATGATTACTAAATAATGCAAGGCCTCCATGCTCTAGCCTGACAATGAAAACCCTGATTGCATACAGCAAGGCCACTTCTGTAGGGCAGAGCTTTCTAATATCTTGCCTGTTGTCTCAGGAAGGTTAGGCCTTGGCTTCTCAAAGGCATGCAAGTAAAACATCAGGTGCTTCAACAGCAGGAGGTCCCAAGCTGCAGGATTCAGTCTGGCAGCAACCTCATGGAGCTGCTCTCCGAACTGGATGTGCCATCAGGGAGGGGAAGGTGGCTGCTCTTTTCCTTGTCATAATAAATGCTGCTTTCCTGAAAAATCATGATCACTTGGAGACACACAAGAGTGTCATTGGCAGAATCACAGAATGCTTAAGGTTGGAAGGGACCTCTAGAGGTCATCTAGTCCAATCCCCCTGCTCCAGCAGGCACACCTAGAGCACATGGCACAGGGTGACGTCCAGGTGGGTTTTGAAGATCTCCAGAGAAGGAGACTCCACAACCTCTCTGGGCAGCCTGTTCCAGGGCTCTGTCACCCTCACGGGAAAGAAATTCTTCCTCACATGGAGATGGAACTTCTTGTGTTTCAACTTGCAGCCATTACCCCTTGTCCTGTCACTGGCCACCATGGAGAAGAGTTCGGCCAAATCCTCCCTACATTCACCCCTCAGGTACTTATACATATTGATCAGATCTCCTCTCAATCTTCTCTTCTCCAGGCTGAACAGGCCGATCTCAGTCTTTCCTCATAAGATAGATGCTCCAGTCCCGTAATCATCTCCGTGGCTCTCTGCTGGACCCCGTCTAGAAGCTCAATGTCCTTGTACTGGGGAGCCCAGAACTGCACCCAATACTTCAGATGCAGCCTCACCAGAGCTGAGTAGAGGGGGAAGATCCCCTCCCTTGACCTGCTGGCAACGCTTCTCCTCATGCAGGCCAGGATCCCAT